AGACTAGGTACTTTCCGCGCCGTAGTAGCGTATAAGTCGCCTTCGGCACTTATTATACCTATATAGTTTATTTCGTAGTAGTAGTACTATATACTTATTATTCGATCTCTTTTTAGCGCGAGTTCGAGCTTTTTTCTATACGAGTAAATACTATTATAGTTAATATTATTACTATTATACGTAGCGAAAGAGTATCGCGTACGAAATAAATAATAATTAATAACTAACGAAAACCGCTCTAGTATAGGCGGTAGAGCTATACTAGCTCTTATAGGCTTAAAATTAAAGAATAATAGTACTCGAGAATTAACTCGACTAATAGAATAGAGTATAAGCTTATACGCCTAAAGTAACGACTTCTACGACGGCGAATACTATATAGAAATTCGATTCTATACGATAAAAGGCTAAGTTTCCTAAGCTAGCTAAATTTAATAGAAAAAGATCGAAGTTCCGGTCGTAGCTTATCTAGGCTCGAGCTAAGTTAATAATTAATAAATAAAAAGAAATCGAAGCCGTATAATTTTAATATTTCTATAGTAGATTAAAGAGTTATATCTTCGCTTAAGTTAATTCGTAGATTAATTTCGTATAATTAATCCTCGAAATAAATACGAAAGAACTTATTAGTTAATTAAAGGCGATATATAAAGACGTCGACGTCGTAGAAAAAGTATTACGAAATCTTACTTAACTAAAGTAGAACGAAAAGTCCTTTAGTATATTCCTCGTCGATTTTAATTATACGCTACTTAAGGCTAACGAACTAAACTAGGCCGACTTAATAAAGAAGATATTTATATTAAACTACCTTTCGTACGACTTAAAGAGCGCTCTCGTTATAATATTAATTCTATTAATCTATAGAGAATATTATATTCTTCTCTATATAATTAATATTAGCTACGGCGAAGGTAGTACTAGAGGCTAAAATCGACTATAATATCCGCGAGGCTAGGACGGCTAGGGAACGCGCCCGCGGCTAATAAGCGAGACGTAACCGAATAGGACGCGGCTAGACCTAGATAGACGAGGCTATACTAGGCTAAATAGCTAGAGATAGCTAGAAATAGAAATAGTAAGACCTAGTAAAATAACCTAGAGAATTCCGCTAGCTCGCGACCTAAAGTATACTCTAGGAGTAGAATAGGCGTAAGCTATACGTAGGCTTAACGAAAGTAGAGGCGATAGCCCTTATACTTATACGAACGAAAGTTATTAGCCTTAATACCTAGCTAGCGTCGATATATATTTCCGGAGTAGTAGCGCGCTACGACTACGACTAGCGTATATAGACGATACGATATATTCTTTTATATTATCTACGATATAATAGGATATAACTTCTACTATAGTATAGTATAGAGAAATTCGACGAGATCCTCTCGAGGCCTATATACGCGACGTACGCGGTACGCTAGTTTATTACGAGTAGAGTCCTCGAGTAATTCCGAGTAGTAAAGGAAGTAGAGGAGGAAAATATAGGAATATTCGTATTCTTTAAGGATTACGAGTAGTAGTAGAAAGAAGAAGAAAGGAAAAGAAAGAGTAAGACCTCTCTAGATTATAGATAAAAGGTTATATAGTTATTAACGGTAATAAGGAGGCGGAAAGCGTACGAGATATATACTTCTAGCGATACGAGCCCTAGGTTTTACTCTACGAAAGAAAGAGCTTTTTTCTATATAAGGTAAACCGTCTACGTAGTTTCGTAAGGAGATCTAAAATAGATATTAATAGATAATATTATTATTATATAATTAATATAAATCTAGAAGTTCTTCGATAGAAGAAAACTAGAGAAAAGATATCTATAAGTAACTCGTTCGATACTACTAGTTATACGAAAGATAAGATAGACTAGACGCTAACTATATAAGCTATAGCGTCCGCGGTAGAACTATAGAAAGCTTTATAGGTATCGTAAGCGATACTTAACTAGAAAAAGAAGCTTAAAGCGTATCTTCGCTATAACTAACGAAATTACTTTATCGTTAAATATTCTTTTCTTTCTATTATACTATTAGGCAATAGGTCCGTAAGCCCTTAAGGATCGCTCAAAAAGACTAGAATCTCGCACGAAGTACGAGGTATTCTCGGACCTATTAGTTATATACTTGCTAGGAAGCCTCTTAGGGTATTCCTAATATATATATACGTCGTCCGCGATTCACGATATCGTTCGAAAGTTTACTTTCTATATATTATTATACTTTTAAAGAGCTTTAATAGATTTCCTATTAAATATAGAAGATAAAGCTAGCTTTAATAGTTTTAAGTTTTCTAGAGTTTCTTACGAGGTAGTAGCGCGTTTTCTACTAGGAAGAAGTATATTCTTAATATCTATAAAGGTTATAGGCGGAACGCCTATAACCTTTATATATAGATTTTCTATCTCTTTTTATAACCTTTTTATAGTAACGACTAGCTTAAGTCTTTTAATCTCTTTACGAACTTCTTTCGTATCGCTTACGTTTCGTATAAAAGATACTAGTATATATTCTCGTTCGTTAAGGGAGGCTTCTATCGTCTCGCCCTCTTAATCTATATCTTCCTCTTTAGGAATAGAGTTCGAATAAATCGTATTCGACCTTACGTTTAATAAGGCTTTTCCTCGTTATTTAGACGTAGTTCGACTACTTACGACTCTTATAGATCGTATAGCCGACTCGTCTACTACTAGTAGTACTCGATCGATTTAGTTTTTATACTTTAAGAATATTAGGTACTACTCGTACTAATAGGTAGGACTACTAGTAGAGTAGTATAAATAGTCTTAATATCGAATCTATTTCTCGATTATAAGTAATACCTTAACGTATCTATCGTAGTAAGCTTAAAGTATAAGGTTCCCCTAAGATCCGTATACGGTAAGTAGCTCTTATATACTAGAATCTCGACGCTCGCTTAGCGGCGCTTATTCGTTCCTAATACTATTACTATAATAAAGTAGAGCGAGTTATACTACTAAAGCGTTATAAGAAATAGGAGCTACTATTATCCTAGGGTAGTATTAAACCTCTCGACGGATCTTAAGAATAAGGGGATAGAATAGGGCATTAGTCTATTCGCCTAGGTTCTAAGAGTTTAAGGATATTAAGAATATACCCTCTAGACTAAGATGGCTATTTTTAGTAGTTCTTAGATAATCCTACTACCTTTCTTTAAAATTAATAGCTATCCTTATAAGTATAAGCCCGCCTACTATTAGGATTATATATAATATTAAATTAATATCTATATCTATGTAAAGAAAAATTATATCTCGCGAATCCTATCTTTCCTTCTTTAGTACTATTTATAAGCTTCTCCCGGAGAACTATTATTAAGACTAAGCGATACCCTATAAACGCCTAGTTACGTAATTACGCTTATATAAGCTAGGATTACGTTGTATCCATTAGGTAAGGCTATACTTAAGCCTTACGGAAGATTCTATAAAACGCTATTCTATTCTATAGGATTAGAAATTATATAACTTAATTTCTAAGCATCCTAGGAGTTAACTCGTATTTACGAATACTCGGCTATTACTCTCGTACTTACGAGATATTGCGACGGAGCCTACGCCTATATAAAATAGGCCTATACTCCTTTACTTAGATAGATCCCAAGTTATTCACTAAGATAGAAAACTACGATACATTTTACTCTTTTAACTTTAGCTACTTCTACTATAGATCTAAACCCTGTCCCTCGGACACCTCGGATAACTATTATACTACTTTTAGCTCTAACGAGATAATAACTAAGGATCTATTTACAATATACTAGTGTATTCCTTTCACCGGATAATAACTCTTTTCCTCGGAACCGTTAAGGGCTAAAATAGAAGACTTAGCCCCCTTCAGCGTTATATTTTTAAAGTAGAGTATAGGTAGTAGTATAGGTACACTACTAATTACCTTATACGGTAATTTTTATAATTAGATATATAAGGTATAGCGCTTAGCTTACTACGCCGGCTTATACTAAAGAATCTACTACGCTCCTACTACTTTCTATATCTTGCTCTATAAAGTCGAGACGTAGTATCTCCACCCCGATAGTATAGTATAGAGGGCTTAAGTACCGCCTATAGCGTCCCGGAGGATGCTTAATTTTACTATTATTAGTAATATCGAGCTAGCTAGGAGGGTTATAGGTCTAGAATAAATACTAGGGGGAATATATCGTACGGGTTTACCTTTATAAGATAGTAGAAGTAGACTTACTAACTTATTAACTCCTATACCCTATACTCTTAGGACCCTAGTCGAGGTATAGATAGTAGGTAAAGTTAGCTAAGCTTATTTATTACGCGACTAGCGAAGTTATAGACGCTATAGAGGGATTAGTCGTATAAAGGGGCGAAAACGGGTCCTCCTCGAAAGAGCGGTGAGCGTAACGATCGAAGATTAAGAGGGTGATCGAGGCGTACTTAGAGAGATGAGGTAGACTTTAGGTGAGCTGGAGGGGAGAATAGAGCCCATCTAGTAGCTATAGATTTAGGCCGTGAAGTAGGTTTAAAGGGAGCCGAAGAAGAATAGAGGACTAAGGGCCTAACGCGATAGGGGGGAGGATATTTAGGGCGGTATCGGGTGAAGTATAATAGGTACGTTAAGGTGAAAAGAGTTGAGAGAAAAATATAAGTTGGAGAGGAGAGAGTTGGAAATGGGAGACGGGGGTCTTATAGTCGTCAAAAGCGGCGGCGCGCCCAGCCCCCGACCATGCCCGAAGCGGCAGGCCGCCTAAACCGGAGGCGGATTTCCCGGCAACAACTTTACATACATATTATTACCAACTTTCTAACGGAACCAGCATGGAAACATTTTTGTATTTGTGATTATGGGACTTGTTTTCCTTTTCGCTTACTTTGCCCCCCCCCCCTTTTTTTCCTCTCTCTCTTACTCGCATATCGGACACTCCTCATCCTTTGTCGTCTACTATCTCGTCGCTAGCATAAATACATGGGCAATCTGATTGATCCAGGGCCGACTATGAACCCCTAGATTATGGGCTCAGTAAGTCGCCGCAAGCCGCATAATCAGATACTCCCCACTATTGATGCCCTCGTACTTTTTGCCCGTCTCCTCGTGCGTCCCGGGCAGAGCCTCGATCCACTTGTCGAAATTAGGGTTGCAGAAATACGCGATGCTGTACCTCGCGGGTATGAGTGCCTCGGGATCGTCTTCCTCGCCATCAGCGGCGGGTTTCGGCGGCGGCTGGATGACGCGGTGGTTGGTGCTGCGGATCAGGTCGTTGCTCCAGCGCGAGAGCAGGTCGCCCGCGTTGACGACGATCGTGCCGGGAATCGGGGTCGCGCGCACCCAAGTGCCTCGCGGCGACTTGACCTCCAGGCCTCCGATGTCGTCCTGGAACAGCAGCGTGATGCTGCCGTAGTCGGAGTGCTCCCCGGCGCGGACCTGGTTGGGGTTTTTCTTCCACACGCTCTTCTTCACGGGTGGGTAGTGCAGCAGACGCAGCGTGTTGTCGCCGCCGTCGGTGAAGGGGTCGAAGAAGTGCTCGTCCAGCCCCATACCCAAGGCGATCGCGCGCATCACGCTGGTGTGGAGGTGCTGGAGCGTGATGAAGAATTTCTGCATGTCGCGCGTGAAGGTCTTGCCTCCCTCATCGAGTTGGTCCGGCCACTGGTTCGGCATCCCCTGTACGCCCTCGCGCCCGATCTCCATGGACTCCTTCAGGTCGGGGTTGCTTTCGCGGAGCTTCGCAATCTCGTCCGGGTCGTTGGACTGGGTGACCTTTTCGCGCCCGGAAGCAACGTAGCCGCGATTGGCGTCGGGCGTGGTCCATCCCAGCGCGTCTTTCTGGGACTGGGGGCGTGCGAAGAACGACGCCGATTCAGAAAATGCCGTGGCGATCTCCTCCGCGGGGACGCCGTGGTTTTGAAGGTAGAGAAATCCGGACGTCTTGAAGGCGTGAGAGATCTGAGATGCCGTCTCTTGCTTTGCCGATGGAGAGCCGTGTAGGAATAGTCCGAAATCAATCAGAGGCATCACCAGGTCGTCTTGCTCGACGCCTCTCTGGACAGCCTGGCCAGCAGAACCCATTTTCGACAAGGTTGAAGCAGACCAGGGACAGGTGGCTTAGTTTGGGATGAGTGGAGTCGGATGTAGAGTCATGAAAAATATCAAGGATTCCTGTCGAATCCAATCCCTATGCACTAACTAGCAGGGCGAGTCCTGTCGCGATTCGCGATTCGCGACTCAAGATCCAGGCGGTGAATGGCCGGCACAATGGCAACGTAGCCACGGAGGGTTGCCGGGGAGCAAGCGTGAAATGGTTCTCCGAAAAGAATAACTTGTAAAATAAATCCTTGAGTAAATAGTTGATTGTTACCTCCCCGTGCTCTCCCAAGAAGTCGTGTCAGAACATCAGGCGATCGGAAAAGTAAAGAGTTGGCCAGATGATAAGCTGATTGGCGATGATGGCTGGACACTGGAAAAAAGGCGGGGACGAAGTTGATAAGAGGAAAAGATGTTGGCGGAGGACGCCGTTGTGCAGCGCAATCTGGCATCTGTAACCGTAACCCGTAATTCCTGTGTTTGGCGAATCATATGCGCCGACATCATTACCGTATATCAAACACCCCAAGGATCTTTGGTGAGAATCATGCAACAACAGGCCTAACAAAGGCTACAGTAAGCTGATCGATCCTTCCAACATCAAATCCAGTATACAAATCTATTTTCGAAGCACGGCGAGAGGATCATTCCACCGCAGGCACCATGGCACCGCCTCCCTCTGACCCCGTGGTCGACATCCACACACACATGTACCCGCCCAGCTACATCTCGCTCCTCTCCAACCGCTCAACAGTACCATACATACACCAGCCCTCCGACCCCAAAGCTGACCCACGACTGATCATCCTCGACTCCGACGATGACCCTGCTCGGCCGAGATCTTCCCGAGGACGCCCTGTCGACAGCACGTACTCGTCGTTCGACAAGAAACGGGAGTTCATGAGACTCCACGGCATCACATGCAGCGTTATCTCCTTGGCCAACCCATGGCTTGATTTCCTGGACCCAGAGTCGGCTCGCGCCACGGCCGTGGGCATCAACGACGATCTCGAGAGTGCGTGTGCGGAGAACAACGCCTCGTCCCAGCATGCTGGGCTGAAACTGTACGCTTTTGCAAGCTTGCCGCTCTCGGCGCCCGCGGAGGACATCGTCTCGGAGATCCAGCGGCTGAAGACACTACCGCACGTCAAAGGCGTGATCATGGGCACGACGGGCCTGGGGAAGGGGCTGGACGATCCAGCTTTGGATGCGGTCTATTCCGCGCTCGCAACGACCAACACTATTGTATTCCTTCATCCTCACTACGGTCTCCCCGCCGAAGCCTTCGGCGGTCCATCGGTCATCGCCAGGTCCGGACACGTGTTGCCCCTCGCTCTCGGCTTCCCGCTCGAGACCACGATCGCCGTGTCCAGGATGTACCTGTCCGGCGTCTTCGACCGACACCCGAAGCTCGAATTCCTGCTGGCCCATTCTGGAGGAACCATACCCTTCCTCGCAGGCCGCATTGAATCGTGCGTCGCCCACGAGCGAGAATTCATCGCGAATGGAGGCAAGACACAGGGCCCACAGCGCTCGATCTGGGATGTCCTGCAGACGAACATTTATCTCGACGCTGTGATCTATGGGCAGCCGGGCTTGAAGGCCGCGCTGGAGGCGGCGGGGAGCGTTGATCGGGTTTTGTTTGGGACGGACCATCCGTTCTTTCCGCCTCTGGGCGACGAGGAAGGAGGGAAGTGGCTGAGCGTGGAGAGCAATAAAGGCGTTATTAGATCCTCGTTTCCGCAAGACGAAGCAGCAAGAAAGAAAATCTTAGGTGGAAACGCGGTAAGAGTGCTTGGCTTGGACTTATGAGATCTGTGGAACGATGCGGTCTGTCTAGCCATCTCAATGGCACCCATGATCTTCGCTCATGCATAGTCCATTCAATCTCTAACTTGGCCTCGTAGCATCTAGACATGAAAAAAAGGGTGTTACGCATCCATTAAAATGATAATGCAGATTTCCCGCCAGACAGTATTCCCCAGCCCAAAATCTCCCAGAGTTGTTCAATAAATGAATCTGCCGGATCTTGCAGTGCATCCTTCAACCTCGCAGATTCAACGCTCTCATCACCCTCACCATTTCCTTCTACTCGTCTCAGAGCATCATTGAACGTCTCATCATCGTCCCCAAACACTCCCCGAAGAAGTGTGTGCTGCAACGTTTGCCTCAGGCCTTCCCGCAGATTTGCGCCCTTAACTTGCCCCCAAAACCGGGGCAAAAATTGGATCAAGGAGTCGGTCGTCATGGTTTGTGCGTTTTCATAGTGGAACGCAGTAACCTCACGTAAAATTTGAACTAGCCACGGTCCCTCGAGTTTGGCAATTAGAATCGCATCCTTGCAATTGAGATGAGAGACATGTAACAACCCCTCGGGTGGACAGATACCACCTTGGTCTTTAGGCGACATTTTGGGGTCGCCAAAAACGAGAAGGGCGAGAGAAGACCCAACATGGTCAAGCAGTGAGCACACCAAGCCCTCGAGCACTTCACAGTTTGACGGGTGAACTACAGCGAGTGTCGTAATCATGTTGACCAAAACTTGGACAAGGCACCTGCTGTCTTTTTGGTAATTCGAGCCGACCATATTGTCATGCGTTTCCTTTGACTTAAAGCGGGAAGTCTTCTTTCCAGACGCGGCTTGTTTCTCCTGCCGAACGAGCTCGTCTAGAGACGATTGATGAAGCAGACCTAGGAAAATCTGAAATGACCTAACAACCTCTGTGACGCCGATGGACGGCTGGCCCCTGTCCTTCTCATCAGGGGCGGCTCGGACCGCTCGGACGGAGCGAAGAAGAATTGGATAGGTTCGGACAAAGACCACGCACAATTCTTCCAGCGTTCTCGAGCGATTGGCCTTCTTGATACTGGTAGAGTTGCAAATCTCCTTCGATAGATCATCTATCGTGTCTACCACTCCTTTTATTGATGCTAACATTTTCGGGCGGTCGAGATCTGCCGTTCGAAGGGCTACGGCAAGGGAGAAAATACCCCGAAGAAGGGGACGACAACCTTGACTTCTCAGCATAGCGGACACGACCCATAGATCAACTTGTAGCTCACTAGAATCAGAGCCTTGGAGCTCGGAACCCAAGCAGTCAGTAGCTTCAAAGGTTGGATTCGCTTTCTTTCGGTTCGGCTGTACCGCATTCTGGTATTGCAAGGTGGTGCTGGGCTTGTGTTTGCTAGGGATCAATTGTCTGCATAACTCCTCAGACTCTGCCCCAGCGGTGGGGTTCTCTCTCTCTTGCTTCAGTCCCATGATCTCATCGAGAAGTCTACATCTCTCGGCATCCGCACCCTCGAAGGCATTCTTCTAGAATACTCCCGGGTCTATGTGGTATGAAAGAGATGATCCCTCCTCGGGGGACTTCGAAATAGCACTTTTAATTAGCAAGAGGTATTCTAGGGCAGTTAGTGGTCGCATCCAGTGCCGATTTTTGGAGTCTTGCCTTCAATTGAATACTGTGCTGGCTTGGATCGATTGATGATAAGCGCCAGTGCTAGATGAGCGGAACATGGTGTGGAGAGCATGCTGCTCTTAATCAGTCTGTCGGGGACAGGGCGGTTTTGCCATTCATTACTGGAATATAATAGAAGCAGACATTACGGATTGCAAATCTGAAAACCCCTCAAGGACGAGGAGATGATGAAAAGGCTATTTGGCACCGTAGGGAAGGAAGGCGCGACCAGGAAGGGGGGTAACAACGTTCTTGCCTTACTCCTACGGACAAAACCATCCCCGAAACTCATGTTGAAACGCATCTTTCGATTTGAAATCTCGCTCATATGCGGAGGATTAGGGGTTGAATGTTCGCCTTATTGATTTTATTCAACAAGGCTGCGAGTGAGAGAGGCGCTGAGATGTTTGCCACAAGTACTATGTAGTACTGATCGTTATGATCCGCCATAGAACGCCAAGCTGTACGCCAGTAGTCTTATGACTGACCGTAACATGAATATTTGGGCAGCAGTTGGACCAGCTGCCTGGTTCCTGTATTGCTTCAACTCTCTCCGCTCGGAACTTGCAGCCCGCCATTATGGCGCCGGCCGACAAGGTAGACATGTCAATCGACTACTATGAACTGTTAGCCATCCCGCCGACCGCGACCGAATCCGAGATTCGTCGCGCGTACAGGAAAACCTCTCTTCTCTACCATCCTGACAAGGTCAAGCCCACCCCCGAGAACTTAGATAAATTTCAGCTCTTGCAGGCTGCGCTAGGCATCCTCACAGATCCCGCCGAAAAGACAAAGTATGATCAGACCCGTGAGGCCAAGCAAAGGAGACAGGCCGAGACCGCGGCGCTTGAAAGTCGAAGGAGGAAAATGAAAGAGGATTTGGAGAAGAGGGAGGGCACTGTTGGCATGCCCCCATCGGTCAACGGCGCCAAGAGAACATGGACTGACAGAGAACTTGAAATCAAGAGGATTGCGGAGGAGAACAGGAAGAGGCGTGAGGCGGCTGTCCAGCAAAAGGCACAGGAGGCGCAGGCCAGAGCACAGGCGGAAGAAAAGCCTTCTAATTCCATCGCTCGGTCTATCAAGGTTCGCTGGATCAAAGAGGGCGAGGGCCTCGACATCGATCAGGATGCTTTAGAGGAGAACTTCCCCAGCGGCGACGTGGAGGATATCGTTGTCCTCAAGGACAAGAAAAGACGCCTGGAAGGGAGGGACAAAAAGGTCTTTCTCGGCACCGCTGTCATCGTGTTTAGGTCGCTCGCTATTGCAAAGAAGGCCTTAGCCCAAGGTCCATGGGAGGGCATCGAGTCGATTGAATGGGCTGCAGAAAAAGAGCCTGATGCAACTTGAAACGATTGCCATAGTAGCAGCTACTGTTTTTATCTGGGGGGCCTACCAGCATTTCCCTTGACCACAAGAGCACTGCGATATTCTACATGGGAGGCTACACCGTGGGGTGTTGAATGAGCACTTTGTTTGGTGTTTGTGCTCAACGACGGCGCACGAAAGTTCACAGTCTGGCTCTGCGACTATTCGGCAACACAGGTACTTGACATTTCGACAGGCCGACAACTTCAAGTACATCAAGCCTGAATTGTGCTATAGAAGGCGAGTTAAACGCGGGCGGCTGTGAGCTGTATGAAAACACTAACCAATTCAATCTTGCCAGATCATGGCAGAGAGGCTAGCGGGTTCGTGCCAACATGGTCAACAACCCGTTTAGAATGAGAAGTGAACAAGAGTGGGATTCGTGGTCTTAGGATTAAGCCTGAAATCGTGAGCAAGCTATGGTATAAGTCTTCCAATACCAATTGAGACTTTAGCTTGTGATCACAGGGCTATCATCCTGGGCCTCGCCAGACCACCAGTTTTGTCTGTTTAAGATACCCAAATAAGCCTGCAATCCAATCACTCAATATACATGATGTATAAAACACATTAGTCTACCTCGTCATACTCCTCATCTTCTTGCCGAGGCTTTGGTTTTGCCCTCTTCTCCTTCCTATGTAGGCTCTGCTGAACACCATCTCTCAGCCACTTGGGCACGAAAGGTTGCAACATGACTTGCTGCTGTTGCTCTCCATCTTGCCCTTCAATTTCCCACTGCACTTTATATTCCTCGTTGGGGTCGAAGTTCGTCCTGTCCGCCGTCAGCTGGATATCAGTCATCATCTCTAGACGACACAGGGCTAGGCCAATATTGCCGATCCCCGATAGATACTTGCCGCTGCTCCGACCGCGGCCACGTGCATTCTGTTTGGATATGTTGGATTGCGATGGTGGCGAGGGTAGAGCCTGGTCGGGACTGTATTCTGGGAGCTGCTGGGAATCTGCAGGTTTATTTCCGGCACTGTAAAGCTGCACAGGTAAAATCCTCTTCCTCACCACGCCGGTGTGATGTGTTCGGATGGTTAGTTCCTGCCCGAGGTAGCAGCCCTTGAAGAAATCAATCCCGCCGAAGAAGTCGATGTTGCTCTCCTGTGGGAGAGCACTTGCGGTGATGATCTCCGATTGTCCCTCTGCGAAACCGTTTGTCATCCGGTGCACTGTGTATTCGTCAAGCGAGGCGTGGGCGAACCCATGGTCTTCGAGGTGGTTTAAAAAGTCTGCCTTGGATTTCATCTGGTCCAGCCACCTCGTACCCATCCCAGGTCTAGGGTCTTTGCCTCCAGTCCGGCCCGCTTCGTTCAAGCGCCCATCCACTTCGAGATCGTCGACACAGCCCGGCCATGCGAAGAATACGCCTATCTGGCCAGGGTCCAACTTCGCGAGCTGGAATTTGGACCGCAGTTTGTGCTTTCGCAAATGGTTTAGGAGGTCGCCTGCACTTTCACTGTCCACCTCTAGAAACCACTCTTCAAGATTTCCTGTCCCGCCCGGAGGATACACAAATACGTCGTTCAGGATGCGTCCATGGGCGGACAGGAAGGCGGTATAGATCGGTCTTGTGCTTCCGGTGTCCAATATTTTGGCCGGGATGATATTATGGAGGAATAGTGCGGCGTCAGGGCCTGCGAGCCGAATGAGAGCTCGATTGGTAAGTTGGAGGTACTTGGTCTTGTTCGAGGGCGGATTCTTGTGTCGGCGAGAGCTTGCGAAACCGCGGTGCTGGGAGGGGATGGCCGGTCGACTTGCGGTTCGGCATTCGGCGCAGATGAATGGCCTGTATCTACTGAGACTCGGCGCTGCAGGCATTCTAGTTGGTGAAAAGGTGGGCTTTGAACATTGAGATGTGATCGTCAGATGTGATCGTGGACGATGAACCGGACTGGAAAGTCGATGCTCCAACTCAGAGTCTCAGGCTGACGAGGATTACATAATACAGTTTCTCCGCAAAAGTCTCCGTCCAGCCAGCCTTGGCACCGCCCCTCGGATGGCAACCTCCAATGCGCCAGGTTGCAGCTATGATAGATAGCATGTATTTGTATCGCAATTCCATTGTAATTGGCACAATTCTATATATAGTATCTAGCTCATCTCCTAGCGACTATATAGTACTATAGTATACATCCTGCTGTCGCATTTAGTATACTGGCCTTTCCAGGAGAGACATTTTAGAGACGCTTTTACCGTAGTGCCGACGACAAGGGCTTTACGCCCTTGTATTTGCTGCGTCAGGAGGTTGATGGGAGACATGCGAACCCTGGTTGAAGTTTCCAGGCTCACTTCTGATAGGCACCACTTGAAGGGGGGAAGTCAGAGTTCTCTCAACTACTAAGCAACGACTGAAAGCGAGAAGGCTGGTTGGCCACGCGCAGCGCCTTCAACCGCAAGTGGACGCCGCATAGCCCTGGCCAATAGGAAGCCTTCCAACAGACCCCCTTCGAGTAAACCATACACGCGAGATCAAGGTGGAAACCTCCGAATGAGGGTGAACAAGGTAGCAAAGGTTAAGATCCGGGATCATGGCGCCTGAACTTATTGGAGCTTCAAAGGGAATGTTTATAGGGGAGGGTATCGTCAACACAGTCACTTGTTTCAACTTTTCACCACTGATTTCTTTGATTCCTGACGACGAAGGGAGACCCGGCGAGGCCAGGCCCGGCATTTGACTTTCCACATCCCCCGCTCGAATACGAAGGCTAGAAACCAGATCTTGACTACGTCCCGACCACACTTCACAGCCCCTTCGACCTTTTAAGCTGGCCTTGTAACATCATGTCCAAGTTTTCTGTCGCCCTTGAGAGTCACGTCGAAAATGACAAAGTTTGTACTTTCGTTCGCGGTCTTTTTGGCGGCCGCAACTACGCAGAATCTAAGCTCAGTTTTACAGAGCACCCAAGCGCTCTCAAGTCTTTACAGCAATCTGACAGCGTTTCCTGAGTTTCTCTCGCAGCTCAACGAGCTTCAAAACATCACATTTCTTGCTCCTAATAACGACGCCATTGCTCGCCTAGTGCAGTCGCCGTTCGGAAGAACTTTGCAGGCCGACCAGGCGCTGCTTCTAGCACATTATTCCTACCACGTACTCAATGGCAGCTTTTACACCTTTGAAACTGCCGAATTGGTCTCCACATTACTCGAATTCGGCCCATACAGTCAAGTCAGTACTGGACAGGCTGTCGAGGTCGTGCCTGGTCCCGACCCATTGTCACCTTCTGATGTCACGTTCTTCTCCGGTCTGAACTCCACAGCACGTCTTATCGGCCATGCTTTCAACTTCTCTGGCGGCGTAGTCCACATTATCGACAATTTCCTGATTATTCCTCAAAACCTGTCCGTGACTGCCGTGCAAGCGAATCTTACTTCTGCCGTGGGGGCAGTGATGGCCGCCGGAAGGATCTGGCTTGGTCTCTTCGACGGGCTTCAGGATGCTACCGTGTTTCTCCCAACAAACGAAGCGTACCGAGAAATCGGAAGCATTCTCGAGAACATTTCAGAGTTCAACATGTCGAGTATCTGTAATTATCAAGCTGTGGACGACTTGCTGTACCTGGACGACCTAAAGAACGGTTCTTACCAGAGCTTTCAGTTTGCAAACATTTCTGTAGTAGTTCGCGGCGACGACGTGTTCATCGGGAATGCCAAAATCGTCGTGCCTAATCTCCTCGTACGAGGGGGTATTGCTCATGTCATTGACAGGTAAGCAAAGCTGAAGTCTACCTTGTTGAGACAGTGAATCAACTCTCACGCAGAGTACTCAATCCCTACAACATCACCGTCAATCCTCACATCGTGGATTCCTCAGCTGCCTTCGCCGGAGCTTTACCAGTGTCATACCTACCGTTCGTGGAGGATGTCGCAACATCCACCATCGACCTGCCAGATCCAGCTGCCTCTCAATCGTCTGCGACGACGACATCCTCAACGGAGGATTCCCAGAATAGGCAGACGAGCTTAGGACTCTCGACAAGTGCCAAGGCTGGAATTGGAGTCGGAATTGGTCTTGGATTCGTCTTCGTCGTCTCCCTTATCTTCTTCTACGTCCGAACACGACGCAAAGCTAGAAAGGATGCAAATACGTCGACCACGGAGATATCGCCGGCCGAAAAGGACCTCGCAGCAGAGTTACCTGGCTCAGGGCGTTCTCCACACGATTTGAGAGCTGAGCTGGATGGAATTTCGCGCGCAGAATTAGAAGCAACCGTTCCTGGAGTAAGCATCGTCGCTAAATAAAGAGGTCTATGACTCAAGTACATAGTAAGTATTGGCTGTGCTGTGCTGTGAGTATTTAGTATGTGCCATGTACATGTGTACTAATAGTCTATGTTTAAGCTGCCTAAGGCTTTCACGATATACTAAGTAGGTATGTCTGTGGGATCGGCAATGAGTCTGCGAAATCCAAAGCAATTTTTAATTCAATTCCGTAAGTACATAGTACATGGTAAGATGTGTATAGTACTACTTAACTTACTGTACATAGTATGTATATATACTAAGTGCTAAAGTTAAGATGGAAACAGATTTAAAATAGGCCATTCCTATCACCGAAACCGGCCTAGTCTACTTAGGAGGTAATATAAGGAAGTAGACTCTACTACTATGTACATATTATTAGTGTTACTTACTAAGCTAGTTCTAAAACTTGGGACTTAGCACAATCGTAACTAAAGTTATATAAGTACTTAGCTCCTCTCAGGACATTCGCGGGTATCGGGAATAATTTCGAATGTGTCGTAAAGTTTAGCGAGGAAAGCGAAGAGAGCGAGAGAAGCTAATGAACGATCTATATAAAGTAAGTAGCAAGTAGGAATTCCGTACATCAGTATTAATTAGTATAGGAGCAACAATTGATTTCTAGCTTCAAATACTTCCTTGTTCCTTTTCCAAGTACTAGGTCTGTAATGGAAGATGCTGGACAGGTCATAAGAGTATGTAATAACGACACATAGGACTACTTTGTATGTATGTGCACATAGGGAGGGGAAAGTCGGATGTCTTGTTTGGTCCTTCATGCGTAATCTGGAGATCTCCCTAGCACCTTCTCATTTCTTATTAGCATTACTGAAGCCTCCTCCCTTGTTCCATCTGTCCGATGCTGCTCCTGGCGTCAATGATGTCTACTACCACACCCATCCTTAACACCCGCAAAATCTGGGGGCGATTGACTACAGTATTCTGGGTAGATAGTACTGAGTGTAATGTAAGCGCGAAATACGAACCCGACCGAGCATCGCGATTGGGCCACAAAACAGTCAGTAGTACTGTATTGCAGAGCCACCCGAAAGTGGAACAAGCTCTTTTCTTTAATCACTCATACATTTGTCAGCCGCACTTCCGCGGAAGGTGAGCCAGCCAAACACCCTGCCTGGTCTTTGAAAGCCCTGCGCTGAATGACAACGTCCGGGACTCAATTGCACAGCTAAAATGCTGCAACCCAAAGTTCGGAAGGTTTGTCGTACCGCGCGCGATTCCTGTTTTGACTGCTACCGCTTGCTACAGACCCAATGGCTAACATAATCCTGATCAGGCGTGCGACTTTTGCTATCGCAGGAGGATCAAATGCGACGCACAAAAGCCCCAGTGCTCTAATTGTGTACTGCATGGCTCAACCTGTGCTTTTGGAGCTACAAGCCGCAAATCACGGACTAGGCACCAGGAATCGGGCGAAGACATTGGGGTTCTGCGATTGCAAGTAGAGCGTCTCCAATCAAGTCTTGACCAGGCTTTAAAGAGGATCGACGAGCTTCAAAGCCTTGTACCGAGGTCGGACAAGGCTCCAGATGTGCTAGCTGCCTCACCCCCAGCGGCCGGCCTCCATGAAGGCCCGGTCGACTTGGTCCAAAAAGAGCTTTCTGATGTACGCATGGAACTGCCACCGCTTCAGGAAGTCCTGTCTGCGACGGCAGTTTACCTCACCACGCTGAACGCGGTTCTTCCGCTGTTCCATCCTGGCCGGTTACTACAATCGATCAACAACTGGTACGCACATCCTAGTCGAAGAGACCGTACAACATGGGCGGCAATTAACGTGATTCTCGCGCTGGCTCATGGTCGAATGGACCCCAATGAAGCGACACTGAGTGAGAGCGCGGCGTACTACCTGCACAACGCCCAGACAGTACTTTCCGAGGTGATCATGGGTGACGCTGCTCTTCTCAACGTCCAAATCCTCGTCGGAATGGTCATACTCTTTCAAGGCACACAAGACCTCAAGCCCGCAACGATGCTAATCGCGGTTGCTTTACGTCTGGCGCACGAGTTAGGGCTACATACCCGAAGAGCTGGGTACCTTGACACTTCCCAGATACTGGAACGGGACCGAGTCTTTTGGATAGCATACCTCCTTGATAGAGATATTAGCTTGCGCACAGGTCGGCCGCCTGTACAACGTGAGGCCGACATCGACCTTGAATGGCCGTCAGCCGAGCCCGAAGATGGAGCTGGACACGTGGCCTATGCCGACAGTGCTTTTGGATTCAACTTTCTTCGATGCCGGGTACGGCTTGCTCGGATCCAAGGTGAAGTCTACGACTTTATGGTTGCAACTCGTGCCGGGACGATGGACGACTACCTGCGAGGCGAGAACATAGTTCGTCTAAACTATATGCTGGACGATTGGATCTCTAAGATACCGCCACCTTTCCGACCCGGCTCTGTGCTACAAGCTGGACAGCCAAATCTTTGCAGAAACTTGGCGGTCCTCTACTCCATTCATCTTGCCTGTCGGACTCAGGTTTACCGGGCCCATGCCATGGACTCGCGCTGGATGCAGAGCCTGCGGAGTTTTGGCAGAACAGTTACGCAGGAAGGACATGTTGTTCCAGCACCCCTACCAACTCCCTCATTGCAGGATTGGGAGAAACTTGTTGACGAGACGCGTAGTTATATGCGGCTGTTTTGGGGCATAGAACGAAGAGACCAGGCGTTTATCTGGTTAGAGAAATTCTTGCATCATCGACGTTTAGGATGGCAGCTGACTTGCTACATTGTCCAGGATGACCGCGTGCACGTGTATTACGGGATCAGTCTGTTTGACAGCCAACATCATGTTTGAGCCATGCCACGCGAGTGTGGAACACGACCACTCACTGGTGTGTCTGTCTATTTCCCTCCTGGAAGCTCTGATACAGCAAACAGGGCACGAGCCACTGAAAGTTCTCCGAGATGCGTGCGAAGAGCTCTTGCATTATGCTCGTGCAATATCATCTGGCACTGACGTTTAGGATGGCATTTGTTTCCTTTGTGAGCGGGCGCGGGTTTCCTCAGGATTCCATAATAAAACCACTGGGGCAGAAAAGCTATAGGCAAGCAAGATATCGCCGAACCTACTCTAATCCCAGTCACGACGCCAAGCTCTATCAGTTTATTGGATAACAACATGGTCCTAACTACATATCGACACCATTCAGAGATACCCTCAGTAGAGATGATGTCTCAATCTCTTCCGCCCGAGCCTTGAGTTCTTCCGCATCCCAGTTTGCCCAGACGAACTTGTTCCTCAGAAATGCAGCTTCATCCGACGCAATCCACACGAGAAAGTGCGCAGGCAACTCCACTGTAAGGTGCGTTAGTATCATTCACAGCGCATCCATTCACCTGATCGCATAAAAACGAAAGAGTATATACCTGTGTCTGGCCCCACGGGGATACTTGGATTGATCTCCGTGCTAATGATACCTGGCTGAATGCTTACGACGTGAATATTCGGGTTCTCGGACGCATAATAATCGATCATCTTCAGCGCTGCTGCTTTTGAGGCTGCGTAGCTCCACACCCCGGGCACTTCCGGAAGAGGAGACCAGTGACTGATGCCACTTCCTGTGTTGAGGAACTTTGCGCCGGGAGCGGCCAGCGGGGTGAATGCCTGCAGTGCGTTGAAAGAGCCCATGAGGTTGATCTCGAAAGATTTCCGGACCTCCGACTCGGGATAGTCGATTACTGTAGCCTCCTTTGCAAGCACGCCGGCGTTGTTAAGGAATATGTCGATCTTGCCGCCTATGCTCGCCACAACGGCACCTAAAGCGGTCTCGATGGATGTGCGATTGGCGACGTCGCCCGTCTGCAGGACCACTTGAGTCGAAGGGTTGGCTTCCGTGATTGCCGCCCCGGCACTCTGGAGGCGGTCGAGCCTACGTCCTATGATGGAAACCGATTTGGCGCCGGCTTGAGCGAAGGCAATCGCAGCGGCTTTCCCAATGCCCGTTCCTCCGCCCGTGATGACGACGCTCTTCCCAGCCACTGAAAGCTCCGGCCTCGTGGGTGAGATGGCCGGATAAGGCCTATTATGCCATGTTTCGGTGAATGAGACAAAACTTTTGAAAGGAGGGGACGCCATGGTGAATGTCGGGGGCGCAGCAGAATAGTGAGGAGAGTGTTCTGTCTGTAAGATGGGCCCCCCAACCGTCTATGTGGATTGTTCGCTCTTTATATGTGGCTTTAAAAAAATTTGTTCTTGCGAGCCCATCCTGATTGCTAAGCTGTTCCTTAATCTATGCCTCCGCGGAAGGGAATAATAACTCTTAGTCACGACCTATTAAGGGAGTCGTCTGACATGAATTAGCCATCCCTTCGCGGAATGTTATGGCCTAGGTTGAAGAGGATCGTTCATATAGTTATTGCCTAAGACGGGCTCTTTAACGGCTATGGCTGCTGGAAAGGGGTAAGCCCTAGTATATACAAACTCACAGAAGAGTAAGAAGATATCCTTGTCAATGTCCCTAGTAGCGCATATTGTTGAAAACGCAAGCATCGTTGAAAGTACCGGTGATAAGCGAATTGCAAGCTCAGCATGAATGTTGCAAGGCGTTTGATCAGGCCCGGCGCGAAGTCGAAACGTGTTAGAGCCGATGAACCTATTTGCTCATGGATGTTAGTCAGCGCTGCCAACTCCCGAGTCATCGAGCCCTGGAGGAGCAAATAGCGCTGGAGCGACAGAACAAACAATTTGGTCAGGAACAACACCAGGCAGAATGGGAGAATAATTCTTACAAAAATACCGCTTGCTACGCAGCTCAAGATATGCCAAAGTCACTCACTATCTCGTATCCGGAAAATCATGGGATTTTACCCAACGGCCAGAAAGTGCAATTCATCAGGGACAGAACTGGAAGAATAAGGAGATATGGATTGGTAGCGTCAGGAATGTCAATGGCAGATTATACGAGCGTCGAAAGCGGCTCAATCCTTGGGAGTGCGAAGTATTATATCCACCATGATAAATCAACGATTGAATGAATGGACGGTGCGGTTTGGGCGTCTGCCGTTGAAGGAACGTTGGGAGGTTATTGACAGCATGCCAAACCTAGGCCACAGATTTTGGATATACTTGCATCAGGATGAAAGTCGGGATCCCAGTCGCTTGCATGTGGAAGGGCTCCAGTTCAAGTAAAGGATATGCTAGTTGTTTGTCACGGCTACCCATACACATAGAAGACGGAATTCCAGGTTGAAATCAACGTGAAGTCGAAAGTGGGTGCAGCTGGGGGCTAGCCTAAATGGGAAGTCTCAACACGGCGACGCGTGCCCACGCGTTTGGTGAACCGCAGAAACGCATCTGAGCCAGCTAGGCGCAGATCGTTCTCAACCACATCATCAACTCTCCAGTCAGTCAGAACAAAGTATCGAGAATTCCTGTCGATTCCTTGTCGTTTGTGCCTAAGCTAATGTTCAATGTCATACTCCGACTCAATCCTACCCTCCTCGAATGCAGCCCTAGAATCAAACCTCGACTTGAACTCTTTGTCCACCACCCTCTCGCCAAACCACGGCTTCTTATACAGTTCAAGCTCCCTTGAGTTTCCCGTATACAAATCGTGCTGCAAAGACGCTTTTACCTGTCATCCTCACCGCTCGAGCCTTATAACATGGTCTCACCTGAGCACCGAGTTCTGTGACATCAAGGTATCTGCTGGATGCGTATCGGAACATAACCCTAAAATGTGTATCGGTTCGAAGTATCGCGGTCAAGTTGTCAGTTTCTGACTAGCTATCTTGCATGCCTCATCTCTACTACTGACTCCGGTCAAGAATGATTTGATGGAGTGAGCCAAGTTAAAGGAAACCAGACGTTCAGAGCTTTGAGGAGCATAAAAGACGGTTTTACCATGCGCCAGATCTGGTAAGGGTCCGCGAAGGGCCGCGCGTCGGTACTCCAATGCTGAACAGTATACGTGATCATTTGTGGGGTGTTTGGATTGATTAGAGCGTGACCCAGCACAAGAGAGAGCGGAGCTGAATTCGCCAAAAGAAGCACTTGTGACAAGAGCCTAGATCGCAAGCACGTGTCCACAAACAAGAACGTTGGAAGTCCTTTGTCTGAGCTGATGAGATCCACTGGTCGGAAATGAATTTTATGTTGCTCAGAATAGCCAGGTCTCGGATGTGATTCCAAAACTTCGAGTCAGCTGTTCTCCTCCTTGACGACTTGCCTGATCCGGCCGGCTCTCACTGCGTGTGCCCTTGGGGTGGGATCAACTCAGCTTGCTGCCTCTCCTCTCTACCTCTTGTCTGCAATCACACCTACATAATACGGCTGCTCAGTCACCAAACCTACATCAAAGCATCAAGCTGCCCGATGTGGACTTCTTCAGAAGATCCCGATCAACCGCGTCAATCATCCACCTCATGTTTAGCATGAGGGAATGGAGAGCGCCGACAAGTGTATCCTAGATCTCACGATCCCTGGAAACATGAGGAACCTCATCTCGGTGAGAAGAGGGCGATTTTTTGAGATGTTGCTTGTGCGTCCTGGCCTGAAAGACGGCGAATGCTCTTCGATTTTGCTTATTGCATTTTGGAGGGGAAATCAAGACCCCTGTCACTGAGCTTACTGTATCACACATGAGAGAGGCGTTATTCCTGCACTAGCAGGGCTTGGACATCGAGTATGAGATGAGAGTCTGAGGCTAGTTCTTTGGGGGTGAGCTTTTGTCGACGACTGAGGAAGGCTTGAGGATTGGACAACAAATTGAATCTAGGGACTGACTTTTCTGAATTGTGGAGACTTGATGACCTGATGACTCTTTTGTCTTTCAGACTGTTATTAGGTAACCTTGCTATTTCAGCGATATTGGTTGTCCGGGCTTGTCCAGAGTACACCTGTTGCAATAGGTACAGAAGCCTAGTCAACTCAGGTACGACGACAATACGTTCAACAAAGCCCTAATACAACAAATGCAGGAACTGTTCTCGATATTATGGACTGCAAGTCTGGGGAATATCATGAGGCTGGGATGATTGGACACATCACGTATTCTGACCGGGACCTCTCGTGAGAGGGGATCAAAGCTTTGGCTTGTCCGTTTTGAATGCGTGCCAATTGTCAAAGTTCTATTGTTATGACTTGGGCATTGTGAAAAATGACTTTGAGATTCTTGCCAATTGGTGGCTGGAGTGGACTGAGTCGGATGAGAGGGTGACAAGGACGGCTTTTCGTTCGTCTGAAGCAACGGACTTGTCGATGGGCTCCAATTGGTTTCTGGAACTGTGGGATGCTTAGTGACGCAGCTGTAAAAGTACTATCAAGAGTCGTCACCAAACACTGTCCGGGATGCCCCAAAGCTTCCCTGGACGGTGAGCACTTTTTTATAAGTACCAACCTTCCCAAAAACTGAAAAGTACTAATTGGGATACTAGTTGTTTACGTTAGGCGGATTGAATGTGGAGTCGCCTATTTGTTGTTGGTGCATAGGCATCACAAATGGAGTTCACTCGAGCTCAACAATGGGATGCATGTAGATCATATACTCAACCCATAACTCTGTATTGAGTGAGTACATCCTAGTGAAGATGGATCTCTTAAGCCTAAGCTCTAGTCATGTCCGCCCTTTCTGAGCAATATGAATGGAGCCTTTGACCTGTCTTGACCCTCTCTCCTTCCCTCAGCTCCGTACAGGTCGACCTGTCTCGAGAGAATTTTATTTGGGAACTTTATTGAACTGCAAAGACCATCATATAAATCCCTTCTTTTCACCCTCCTTTCACACCTATTGTATTCTGAAGTACACCAATACTCTCAGCACTCGTTACTTACTTCTTTCATCGACACCATATCTGCCATTCACCAAGCACCAACACAGTCAAGTACAATGGCTCAATTATTCTTTCTCGTTGCCCACCACAAGAGCACCATCATGAAGGCCGACCTAATGGTGGAAGCTCAGGAGACGCTCGACGCAGTAAGAGCTTTCAAGACAGGATCCTCACAGCAACCATTTGCGATCAAGAAGTACGTTGAGGGCAAGGGGCTGTTACAAATGACCCTCTGGAACACCAGCGCAACCACCAGCCATAATGGGGCGATGACCTGTGAGGTGAACCTCACAACCGTCAAGGTCGACCTCAATGAGGGTGTAGAGGCCCTCAAAGGCAAACTGCACAGACTCGTCGACTCGCCTTTCAACGAGGCTGATTCGAAGCTTCTGGTCGATCAACTCAATTGGATTCCTCAGGAGGTCGGCTCTGCGGTCAGAGAACTGGTGGGCGAGATCTGCGAATCGCTGGTGGCTATGGTGACTGTCAAGGCGATCCCAGCGCAACAAAGATGGTCCCTCGACAGTGGAAAGAGGGGGCTCCCAACAGCAAACAACCAGAAACCCACAGCACGCCTTCAATGCGGACGATACGCATGCGACAGTGTGGACGACAAAACGGGCTGCAAACCAGGATACGCCGCCAGACAGCAACACTTCTCGCACGAGCACCAATCTCAGGACGATTGGGCAGAGGGGGGACGACAAACTTCAAAAGGCCAGAAGCTAACGACACTCCACCCCGGACTTAAACATTTCGGCCAGAACGGCCAATCAAAGTCAGGACAATTGGGCGGAGGCACGGAGAGGGAGAAGGGGAAAGTACCGGTGGAAACAGGCCACTTGGGCAAGGAGGGAGGCAACAGTGCAAGATGCATCCTCGAACCTTCAAGGTCATGGTCATGGTCCGAGAGATCAGACATTGTGGGCCGAAGACAAGTGGACCCACCGTTGGCGGGTCTTGCGCGGAAAGATCCAGATCGAGGTCGGGATGAGCCGACAGTTTACAGCACTCAGATTGACTTTCCAATCGATGGAAGTCTAAATAAGCGACGAAGGGACGCGCTGTGATGGAGGGATGTGCTACTGCATAAGCTGATCAAGATCTGGGCTAGCCATCTAGGGAAGTTTTGTCAGGTGGACACATTATGTTACTTATAGCTAGTCACTTCTATTATCTATATATATGAGCCATGAAATAAATGGTGAACATAGCTAGTGTTTGTATTTAGGCGTTTTCAACCGCACCTAGAACGAAAAGTAGATTTCAGTATTGATTTTTCCTGGCTCTTCTCCCCTCTATAAT